CAAGATGTGGTGTCAGCATACTGAGACAGCCCAGATTGCTTTGACATAAAAAGGTAGATCCCAGAGCACCGCAGCATTGTTTTTCAGAAAGGATTTTAATTCACAGTTTTATGGGTCACAGATTAGTTTTGTTCCGAATGTATGTTGGAGTCAGATATGACTGTTACAGCATCCAAGTGGAGGTCAACAAACTATACTCTAGGTAAAGGACATACAACATAAACTACTTGGTTATTTATATGCTAGTAATGTGTGTGTATGGAAGCTGTGTTTGCTACTTAAGGTTGACATTTTTAAATTCAGTTGGTTGAACTAGCCAAACATCTCATAAACTAAAAGCAAGAAACAAAAAGTATGGTGATGTCATCAACCGTGCCTGTGCGTTGGTAATAAAAAGGTCCTTGCTTCTCTCTCTCTCTCTCTCTCTCAATGCCTAGGTTCCCTTTCAGGGCCACAGATGCCAAGAAGTCTTAAACGTCTGAAAACCACTACTGCCAGTCCATCTGCAGCTGCCAGAACTAGCGGTGGTGACCTTCAGATATTTAAGACTACCTGCTTCCATTTCACGTTGCCGTCTGCTTGGCTTATTTTGTGTGCCCAGCATTGGGCTTGAGTGATAGTAACCTTTGAACTGCAGAGCCAGAAGGGACCTATGGATCATTGAGTCCAGTCCTTCTCAGGGAGGCACCATAGAAGGACCTATGGATCATTGAGTCCAGTCCTTCCCAGGGAGGCACCGTAGGAAATTGAACTTCCAACCTCTGGCTTTGCAGCTGGAGACCTAAGCCACCGAGCTATAATTTCTATCTCTGAGGTAAAACTGATAGCCTCAAACTGATTCTAAAAAGATCACAGACTCCATTTTGCTACTTACTTTAAAGAAGAGAATATGGCCGCAACATCTGGCCAAGATGTTTTGGGGGGGAATTTTTTCTTTTTTCAGTGGCTTAATTTTAGTAGTTCACTAAAAGTATCACCTGTCCTTTGGGATTCTGCCTTATTCATTCTTCCAAAGAAACAAACACACAAAAAATGATATGTTATTTATCATCATCATGTGCTATCAAATCAATTCTGACTCATGATGACCCTTTTCTGGGTTTTCCGGGCAGAGAATACTCAGAAGTAGTTTACTGTTCCCTTCTTCTGGGGGTGCCTTGGGACTGTGCGGCTTGCCCCCAAGGTCACACAGACTGGCTCTGATCACAGAAGGCAAAAAGGGGAATCAAATTCCCAACCTCTGGCTCTATAGCCAGATACTTAAACCGGCTATCCAGCCAGCTTGCTCTCTCCTATTATTTATACATGTCATTTATTATTTATAGTTATTTATATTTCTTTTCACTGCTATACTTCATATGAGATCCAATCTATATAGAGATGGAGTTTACCAGGCACATTTCTTTGAGAATGTTTAGATTCCGTTGTATAAACCACAGAGGAAAACATTTGCTAAAGTACATGGGCTAGCAGCCCATCTGTTCTCTTCTCCTAACCAAGAAAAAGATTTTAAAAAGTGCCCTAAAAAAATCAGAGTTAGCTAGAGCAGGAAGGTAAGTAGACTTAGAGGGGTAGTTACACCAGAAGCTGTAGCTATTCTTCGGTCATGGTTGGGAAGTGACAAAACAAGTTGGCATAGAAAGTTATGTGAGGTAATTGGCAGCAAAATGGCTGGGACAAAGATCAGCTTGCCTAGCTACGTTCTCAAGAGTAGAAGGCAAGAGGTGAAGTTCATATATTTGATCTGTATCCTATGTGAAGTGGATCTGAGTTGTTGTTCCATGTATGGGACTTAAGGCTGTGGGATGACAGACAGCTTACCGGGAACTCATCAATTTAGAGGGACATGAGGTCCTCCAGATAATTACCCAATTCCCTATGCATTGGAAAGATTTTCACATACTCAGTTTGAGTCATTTAAATAAAACATAGATACTACAGAAAAGGCTAGACTGAACTGACAGCAGATACACACAGCTTGATTAAAACAAACAAACAAACAAACATTTATTCAATGAACTACATTTACTCAATGTTCATTTCAAGAAATTAAACTTCTGAAAGAGTTTTGCAATTCCATTTCATTTCTCCCAAGAACACACACTATATAAACAGTCAAATCCTCAAAGGTGCCAAATGCTGCCCTCCTTTCCCCCTAAACTATCTTTGTGTGTGCAGTCTGGATGAAACAACGCATTGATTATGCTTGTGTAAACAAGAGCCCACAGGAAAAAAAATTCAGATCAAAAGCTTGTCAAATATTGAGCAGCAAAGAGAAATCCTATGTGAGCTCTTTTCAAGTCTGAATTCAGACCAGAAAGATAAAAACAAAGGGATTTTAAGTACATAATGTTACTTAACTATGGAGTATAAACAAAGGTGTTTTCCCCCCAAATCCATTTCCTGTACCCTACTGTAGAATACTCAGTTAAAAATGTGTGTACAACCCCATATTTTTTTTTTCATAAAGCAAAGGTGGAGAGAACACATGTGCAGAAGAGAACCAGCAGATATAAGAGGCATATATATCCCCACTACCCAGTTTCCCTGTTCAAATATCACACCAACATCCAGCAAAATAATTATTCATATTTGCTTTTCCCAAGTATTTTTTTCCTGGGATAAAGTAACCCCATTTGGAGGAAACACAAAGAAGGCACATGAAGAAAAGAGTGGCAGTAATGTTAAGCATACCTACCTCTAATTGCACTTTGTTAAAAATTTCTCCTAATACATTCATATTATCCTGGCAAATATAGGTCTCCATCAACATGTATTTCTGCCCATAAGTATATATAACATGTATTTCTGCCCACAAGTGTATATTGTGGGAAGGCAAACAGTTCAGAATTACAGAAATATTTATCCATCTGTGTTCACAATTTCCATATCTCTTTATTTGTTACCACCATATATGTTTATACCATTATCATGTTCCAATGTATTATTTCATTAAACCTGTTGCATGTTTCATCATTTTCTTTGGCCAAACTCTGCCAAGCTCTTCTTGAACTAACTTGGAAATGCTTTAGCCCTCCACATTATACCCATGGGAACAGCTCAAGATTATTTTTGTGAACTGATTTAAGGGCCCAAGATAATGCTGCTGAGAACACCCTGAATCTAAAAGCTTCTGAAGTGATATGAGTGGTGCCAACAAGTAAACAGAAACAGGACAACATTGAAGTCTTCTATATCCCTCCTCCCACTCTGAGACTGAAGCATCCTGGCCCAAATTCTGTGATTTGTATGCACCAGTGCTAAGTCCAGCATCAGAAATTAGAGTGGCAAATTACCACCACTTAAGAAGGTAAAGACTGTATTTCTTGTTGGATGCCAAATCACACAACTTGAGCGCATCATCATCTTCATCATAATCAACAACAAAAGTACACACACTGATTTGTGATTGAGTAGCAATTTCCACATTTAAATTTACGTTGTTAGTCTTACACTGGCAGAAATATCTCATAGGATTCTGGTCACTGGGTAGCAGTGGCTTGGAAAAGAACATGTAAGGGAAACTAATGCAGCTACAGTGTCCTTACTATTACTTCCATGTCACTCTAAGGCTCTCCGTTTCATCCTGCTGCTACCCAGTGTGCCACAGTGATGAAGAAAGTCAGCATGTCACAGCAAGAGAGAGGCAGGGAGGGAGGAAGAAAGGGAAGGAGAAGATGGTAATACAAATATCTTCCTCCTCTCCTGGTGTTACTGTTGCTTGACTGATAAACTAAGGGCAGGAACCAATCCTTCCTTTTTCCAGGGGGTAGGTCTTTGAGGACAAGAGCTGGGAGCGTTGTTTCAGGCAAAGACTGAAAACTTGTATTTTGACAGGAATGGGTATGTTCCTTTTGATCAGAATTTATCCCCTCACAGACCCAAACACAACCCGCACTCCACTTTTGAGGTTGGGACATGATCCACACAATAAAAGGGCATGCAATTAAAATAAATAATAAAAAATAAATAGCATGCGAACTGCATAGTTGAATATGGATATTCGTCAGAATAAACTTCATTCAAAAAGGTTAAGAACCACTGGCATAGTTGAATATGGATATTTGTCAGAATAAACTTCTAGGTGGCAACCAAGGAAACACACTGAGATTGTATTTTTAAGATTTCACATCCCTAGAGCCAGACAATAAGTTAGAAGCTTTAGAAGCTCACTTCTCATCTGAGGAAACTGTTTACAAACCCCCAGATTTTAAGCTATCCCAGAATTGGGAGAATATTGCTAGCATCTCTGTTTTGCATTTAACAATATGTTACCACTGAAGAGGACTGAGAGCATTTTTGCAATAGTCTCAGGATAGAAGAGTGCACTCTTTTAAAAATAATGAGACGGCTCCTACTACCTATGTATTTCTCTAGCTATAGGCACAGGGGAAGGACAATAAAGATCACATTCACTGCTGCAGGAAACCGGAGCCTGACATGCAGGATTCTTCGCCAAATTCCAGACAAAAAGCCGAAACGGAGGTGAGAAATCAACCACAGGCTGGAAGTCCACTTTTGTGGCACTTTCTGTGAACATGACCCAAGGATTTTATAGAATTCCTTAGCTTTCATTTCCAAAACATGTGGCTTTTCAAAGGCAATTCGCAAATGAAATAAGCCAGAATTTCTGTACATGCGGTAGTTTTCGGTACTTTGAAAAGTATAGCCATGTCTTTGGAAACAAGTAAAAGTACAGATCCAGCATTCAATTTTATGAAAATTGCTAAGAAACTAATATTGAAAATTTGTTTCCAATGCAGAATATGAACTCATCAGAATCTTATAACTAAAAGCCAACCTCAGTGTCTACTAGTATTCAGAAACTGAATCCCAAATAGGTTGAGCTCTTTTGAAATGAAAGACTATCTGATTTAGGTAATCTACACATTTCTATGGTTCCAAAATAAATAGACTCTTTACTCACCATGTCTAAACATTGTTTCTATAACCTTCTTTTGAAAATGCCTGGAAAGGTTAAATGACATGTCATTATTTACCTTGACTAATGAATTTCTCCATGTTGTCTTTAAAGGGTTGGATGTGCTCCTCTAAGGAAAACTGGCAAACTTTGGCTGCTTCTGTTTCGCATGCTGCAAAGTGAAGTTACATTTGAATTACAATTCTATTAATTACAAAACAAGTTCCTTCATCAGCATTTGCTTTTAACTATAAAATGATATGAAATGTAGACTTCAGCAAGTTCTTAGAATGGACGTAATGGCCATTTTGCTACTGCAAAATCACACAAGTTGTATCGCACCAGTATCAGTTTTGTCTAGTACTGGTGTAATACTGTATGTGTCATGAGTAGCGATCATAATGGACAAAGAAAGGACAAAGGTGGGACAGAAGAACCAGGTAAGGCCAACTCACTTAGATGTCACTATGTAGCAACTGAAACTCTTTCATGTAATTACAATTTATATTCCAGATATGTAATACTAAATTGTCTTTCAAAAAATAAGAGCATGCAGTATTTATTTGAGAACTTGATAACCTCCCCCTCTTTGTCTCAGAAAAGAGGAAAGAAAAGAAAAGAGAAGAGAAGAAGGCATTTCGAGAAGAGAAGAGAAGAGAAGAGAAGAAGGCATTTCAGTGAAAACTACTATGCGTACCACTTCATTTGAACTCAACATCCAGGCAGAAACGATTATCTAAAAATTATGTAAATTTGTTGGTGTGAGGTATGTATTAATGGATGGTTGAGGATTTCCTTTCAGTTTTACAGATGTTTGTTTCTGTTTTGTTTTGTTTCATCATGTACCAAAAATCTTCACAACTGAAATATGGGAGAAGGTGAAAACTGATGGATTTTCCAGTCCCCATTTTAAGGTAAGGAAGACTCAACTCTCAACAATAAAATGTTATCCTAAAGCAAAACTATTAATTTTGATTTGGAAATATTGAACTGAATTGCAGTTCTATCATTTCACCAAGATTCAAGAATTCAGTTACTATACTAAATTTGACGTTGAAATAAAAGGTAAACGATAAAAGGAAAATGCAAAGTCCATTAATCCAACATCTTACTGCCACTACACAACCCTTTAGTCTTACACAGTTCTGAGCCTTGTTGGCATTGCTCATATGAAATCTTTTTCAACTATGATGTTACTATGAAAAAATTGTTAGACCAATGATTAGAATAAAACATTAAAGGGCAATGTCAAGAATGGTCAAAACTGAAGCTAATCAGGCTGTATAAAAAAACAAAATAGACAGCATGCAAAAAAATGTTATATTTGAGAGCTAGAATATATTAACAGGTCTTAACAGTACCTGCTTATTGTTTTTCCCATTTAATATAACAGTACTTACAACTTTCCCCTTTAATATTGTCTTTCCACAAACTCAAATTCAGAAAAAAATACAGTTTCCCTGAAAATAAGACCTTATCTGAAAATAAACCCTTGTATGATTTTTCAGGATGCTCATAATATAAGCCCTACCCCAAAAATAAGCCATATTTAAGTGAAACCCCGCCCTCCACCAGAGACTAATTGTTCAGCAACTGGGATTGATTCCATCTTGTCCGAGCGGGCCAGCAGGATCCATGCTTCCCCCTCCCCTCACCACATCAACAAGCAAGTGTATTCCCCAAACAAGCCAGAAATCTCTGGTCCTGCAGTGGAAGGAGTTTGAGGCCAGTTTGTGTTGGGGCCACTGCCACCACCACTCCCCCTTCCCGGGAGGGAGTCACAAGAAATTCAGGCCAGAATTTGGGGTTTGAAGAGTTATGACGGTATTCCAGAAGATGAAATGACTGTATTTGAATCGTTGTACATGAAAAAAATAAAACATCCCCCGAAAATAAAATCTAATGTGTTTTTTGGAGCAAAAATTAACATAAGACCCGGTCTTATTTTCGGGGAAACACAGTAGTTTAGAAGATACAATATTTCAGAAATGCATCTGAAGGAAAGCCGAGAGAGCTGGCTGGACAGCTCAATCAATTATGCATCTGGTTGTGATGTGAGAGGTTGGGAGTCCTTTTTTCCACTGTGCATCCTAGAGGAGTCAGTCTGTCTGGCCGTGGGCAAGCTGCACAGTCTCAGGGTGCCCCCAGAAAAAGGGAATGGTAAATAACTTCAGTTTATTCTGTAACAAGAAAATCCTGGAGTCAGAATTGACTTGAAGGCACACATACATTTATGCCCTAAAGGAGTTACACCTATCTGGGAAACAGATTTAGGCCCTGGTCAGACAAGAGAAATGTCCTCTAGTTCTTCCAATATATTTCATTGACTTATTTATTTATTAAATTTATACCCCGCCCATCTAGACCGAAGTCTACTCTCGGTGGCTAACAATAATAGATAAAATAAAAACAATATAATAAAATAAAATATTCCATACCTCTGTTGTACTGAATCGGTCCAATGGTAGATATACTGGGGCAAGCAAGAGCTTTTAGCAGTAATGATTTATTTCCTCCTATTTGAATCATTATGGCTGGCTACACCATGGTACCACTTTATTTTCTCTCAAGGGGCAATTCATCTGTTTGGGAATATGTCCTCTGTTGAGCTGACTGCTCTGCAGAATTGGATTGCTTCGTCTACTTCCCCCGTCATCACCTCTGCCTTTCAGCTTAATCTGCCATTTCTTTCTCCCCCCCCCCACCGCCGCAGCCCTTCTGCAACTGTTTCATTGCTGGCACTGCAGCAAAGGCTCGGTTTTCTCTGTGACTACACGTATTGATGCACTGCCCGTGAATGTTTTAATATATATGTGTGCACTGCAATAATGGTGGCCACCTTCCTGGCTTCAGTTCTGAAAAGAAGCAGGGCAGGTCATGCACATAGGTGATTGTGGTATGGAATGCACCAATACGACAGAGAAACAAAATAACACAACACTCCCAGGGAGTGGAAAATAAACTGCAGTTACACTGTTGGCTGGGAAAATATTTTGATCTTGACTGTGTGTCATTGGAGGATAACTAGAGAACATCTCTTCATGTGACCAGAGCTGCAGTCCACTGGAATCAACGAGGCCTAACTCTCATGACCATGGGCAAAACTGTGGCAAATTTTAACAGGCAAACATTTTGTTTAAAGTTAACTTTTATTAGTCAGTAAGAAACTTTAACAAATACTCCATCTGTTTCACAGTGGTAGACATTTAAAGCAAACATGCATGTGCAAATCAACCAGCACAAACCATGTCTTTAAACTTTGTGGAACTGACTACTCAGCTACAGTAATTTACCAAGGCTCAGATCACACACCCTTGTAAACATTCTTAACTACAATACCATGTGAATTATATTGACCTAAATGAGACCATTCATGGTTACAAAGCTAAAAATATATTTAAGTGTTTATAGGCTTTGTGCCCAAACAAATGCAATGTTAAGTCAATTTCACAGAAAGTGCAGGAGCTGTGGCACAATGCAAACTTGTTTTGATAGCCTATGTGGTCTCTGACTTCTGTCTGTTCTGGCAAAACCAAATGCTTTATGGGCTTATTTTTTGTGGCAAGCTACTACAGAAATGGAGAACCAGGAAGGAAAGCCTCATTGTGCCACACATCTATGAGAAATTAATCCAGGTAAAGAAAGTGCAATATGTAATGAAGATGAGTTTTTCCCCCTATTTTAGATGCTCAAGAAATCTTCAGAGATCTTGGAAAGGATTATTCCTAGGAATTTATTTCAAGATGCTACCATATGTTTTTTGTTCTTCTGTGTTGTTGGCTCCTGGAAGATTATCCAGTCTTCAAAAAAGCCATTGTGTAATGTTTGCAAACACATACAGAGCTTTATCAGCTCTCTCCAAGTATGGTAGCTGTTTGCAAGCAAGCCACCAAGTGAGAATAGTGAAATTAAGAGGAAAAACATGCACTTTCAATACATGTAGGTACAGAAAAACTCTATAAAAATGTAGAGATCTATCTGGATCCTAGCTTTGATTTTCGTATTATTGTCCCCCCAAAAAAGAAATGATGAGGTGAGACATGGAGATGGGTAAAAAAGGGCAATATTAATTATTATTAATAATAATTCCCTGTTCTACAGAAAGGCCTTCTTGTGAGTCTTGGACCTGGGAGCAAGAATTTTTGACTGCTCACCTCTTTCTGCTCCAAGCCCTAGGCCTTCTGTAAATTACAGCTGAACTTCAGTCAGCCTCAATTTTGAGTAGATTTCCCAGGGCTATTTCTGGCTGGAGTCTCATCACTTTTAGTCACAGCCCAATTCAGCCTCAAATAATAATAATAACAATATAATTTATATT